AAAAAAAAAAAAAAAAAAACAAAACAAAAAAGATACCACTAATCAATACATAAGGCTTTATTTTATGTCATCCTAGTTATTTCTCTCTGTATTCACTCATTTATGGCACGCCGTTTCTAAATAGAATTCTCTTCATTTTTACTCATTCTGTTTATGAATCTCACTCTGAATTGAAGTCAGGGCTCTTAGTTAACCAAACAGAAAAGAGCTACATACTCTTCAATAATGTCACTAAAAAATCTAGAACATTTATATGAAGAAAAATCTCACTGCTCCTAAGCAAGATTAAACGATCCTTGAAACTGCTGGGTTTAGATGGAAGTACACCTGCAAAGTAAGTTAATTTGCCAGCATCACATCCTATGACCAGCCCTGAATAACACTTACAACAAAGCTAGGACTCGGAGACTTAGAACCATGGAGTCAGAAAGGTTTTGCCATATTCTACTACCGTTTGAAGGTTAGCTTTGGCAGTGAAGAAATAAATTGTACAATTCTGTAAAGAAAGAAAGCTCAAAGCTCCAGAAAAAAAGAAACCATCTATTCCAAGGACTACAAAATCTCAGGAAAGAAGCTGGGGTTAGAGCAAGAATTACGTCAAATACATACAAAGAGGCTCCGTCCAGGAAGAGAGGCGAGAGGGCCCAGCAGAGCTGGGTAAAGATCAGGAGGGTTAGAAAAAATCAGCTCTTCCTCTTCCTCCAAGGCAGCCAGACTCTTTAACAGGTCCGGAGGAAGCAGAGGGGAGCCCTTGGGGTCCTAGTGACAGAAAGGATCACAGTGAGATGTAGTAAGGGATGACAAAAGCACAAAGGAGTAGCAGCACAGTTAGGGGGACAGAGGTAAGTACAGTCAAGCAGAAAAATCCCAGGGAGACGGTACTACGCAAAGAAAAAGCTCTGAAACAAGCAAGGTGACACAGGACAGTGGTAGTGAAAGAGCAAGACGGTAGAAAGGAGCAAAAACCACTGACAAACAAGGAGCAGCACATCAAAGGTTAACGCGGCCAGTGAGGAAAACAATGCGTAGCAGGGTGATCAGCGTGATCTTGGGCTAACAGAGAAACAGCTCTTTTTAAAAGATACACATACACACCCATTTCTTGTGAATAAAGAGAGAAAGGAAGGAGAGCTCCACTATCGAAGATAACTGGCTGACTTCGTTCCTCTCAGAAAGCAATTTGTTTAAATACGCAGTAAACCTATTTTTAAACTCAGATGATTCAGCCCAACTGAGAGGAGCTTTGTTTCACGATTCCCCAATATGCCGCGTGCAAGATTTCTGCACATGATTTCTCTGCCAGACCACCACAGTCCGCATCAGTGACAGAGCCCCTCACTCCTCCGAATCCAACAGACTGTGCCAGTGTGTGGAGGAGACCAGGAGCCACACCAGGTGCCGGGCAGCGTGCCGCAGCGCTAACGAATCGGAGAGTGGCCTTTACAAGCATCTGCTTTAGAAATTCGAAAGATACGCAGCCCCACGCCTATGTCCGCTGTGTCTGGTGATGGGAAAGGACACACACCTCAAATGGCATCCTGGGCACAGGATCCTGCTCTGGACGGAAGACTCCTGGTGACCGTTTGCCTCTGCGGTCCACACTTGCTTGCTGGGCCATGACAGCTCTGTTATCAGCCATGCTGTAGGAAGAATCCCAGTAGAACTCTGGGACCTTGACTTCTGAGGGATTATGGTTATATGGCTCCATGGGAAAAGGCTTCATTTTTTTCTCTAGAGGCTGCTGCTGCATTACAGGAGGTTGCAATGACGGCTCAAACAGTTTTATGGGGTCTTGGGGCTGAAGGTAGTAGGACTGTTTCACAGGCATGATTTTCCCTAATGGGCCTTGAACCTGAGGGGGATTCCACAGCTGTTTGGAGGCATCTGCCTGTTGATACTAAAAAAGAGATGCTTGTCATCAAGATGAGGATAAAATGCAATGTTACATTCAATACTCAGGAAATCACAAAATGAACTTGAGAAACTTAACTGACAAAACTCAGTTTCCTTTACCCTTTATGTTTTTCAATACGCAGAGCTTTCTCGGATGATGGGCAGTGAACTCACCTTCTCTTTCAATTCAATTATTTATGAGGTTTAATGAACAAATGAAAGCGTGTGTGCTATGTGTGTGTGTTCCCCCTTCCCAGCCCAAGTACTGTGGGGTTGATGATATTTAAGAATGGTGTCATAGCTTTCTTAACACCTCGTCAAGATTATGATTCTATTTCCCTCCTGTAGTTTATTTTCAAATAGGAGAATTATTTATACAAAGTTCTTCTCTACAAAGTTGACAAGCAGCAGCAGCAAAGAACAGTAGTTAAGATCTATTATCCTTTACAAAGGAGAAAGGGAAACATCTGAACTTCCCTAAACAGCAGAGAGAGTGTATTCTTCTCCATAATCCTTCCATAGCAGAAGCATCTGGAAAGCTTAAGTAGTAAGCTTTGGTAATTTTGGTATTTCTAATTAACCAAAGTAAGTTTGGTATTTCTAATTAACCAACCACTGGACCATTCTAGTCTCCCCTCCTCCTGATCTTGGCTGGACGGTACGCACAACTGTGACTCACCTGCTGGAACCCAGAGTGGTGAGGAGGGCTTTTCCCCAAAGCCGGCACGGCTTTTGTGGGGGATTGCTGCTGAGCTAGAGCTTGAACCTGCAACTGGCTTGTGGACTGTGCTGTCGGCTGAGCTGGTAAAGATGTAAGGGGTTGCTGGGAAGGTGGCTGTGGCTGTTGAGGTCCCTGGTTCATTGGCCCTGGTCCAGAGGGCCGTTGCTGGCTGTAAGGAATGTGGGACTGTTTCCCAGCTTGCACCTGGTTTCCTGCTGGAGAGTGAGCTGTAGGCTGAAGAAAGGTTCCTGGGACAGAAACACCAGCTGGGAAGGTGTAACCTGAGCCCATAGAAAATGCCACAGGAGGGGGAATAACATATGTTGGGGGCGGGAACCCTTCAAAATAGAAGAACATAGCAGCTTTAGTTCTAAAGACACTTAGCAAAAGAAAGGCAAAAATAAGTCATTTGGGGGTAAGGTGGGGTAGGGTAGAAGAAGAGGTCTTCTAATAAATTAAAAACGGCAGGAATCAGACATCAAGTAAGACTGATCAAGCATCAATCTTTAACTTGATTTCAAGAATTAAATACAGAGTATTGGCTGCTATTTCTATCCACTGAATCAAGTGGAGCATTCTCAAGGTGGTTTCTTAAATGCTATGTTTAGTGATAGGAATTCCTTCATGATAACAAACATGCATTTGTATATATACTACAGAGAAATGGTTCAAAAAGAACTTAGTAAGCATCAGAGAAAAGAGAACTTCCTTCTACCTTTTAACATTATGGTTTAGTAATGTAACTCTGACAGAGTATAAATTATTCAATGAGGGAGCAGAAACTCCTATACAGATGAGATTAAGTAGAAAATGTGTATTTACCTGGCCGGCTAGGAAGAGGAGGGAAGGCTCCAGGGTGATGAATGGGGATGAACTGGGAGTTACTTGCTTGACTTGGGGTTTGAGTTACAGGTGTTTTCCTGGCTTCAGACACTGGAGTCTTTCTTAGTTCTGTCTGGGATTTCACCTATGACCAACAAAAGCAAAACCATCTATAATAATCTGAAACTCAAATGTATCACAAAGAAGCACCTCTAAGAAAGAATTTAAAACCCCATTACGTCAAAAAAAAAAAAAAAAAAAAAAAAAAAAAAAAAAAAAAGCATATGAAGGTATCTAATACCTAAATAAAAAGTGGGGAAAAAAAATCAAAACAAATTATTTGTCAATTAAAGATAGAAGGGTTTTGTTTAATTGGTGTGACGATTTTGCTTACACAGAATCATGAACATACTAAATACAGAAAGGACCTGAGAGCTCATTTGTTTGACAAATGAGACATCTGATACCAACAGGTTAAAAAACTTGCCTATAATCTTAAGCCACCTATTATGGGCTCCAGGGCCCTTTATACTCAAATTCATTAGACAACAAACATGGATAATGAATTAACAATGATGAGTAACTCACAGGAGAGACACTTTGGCCCTCAGTTTAATTTCATCTGGGCAGCCTCAAGCATACCAGTCAGGCATCCACCGTCCACCCCCAATGCTACCACCCCTTTAGAATAAGGATACTGTCAGCAGTCAGAACAGGGCCCAACATTCTACACAATGAGCTACACAGAGTAAGATGTCACATGCATTGCTCAAATTGAGTAAAATGAAGGAAAACAGGTACATTTACAGAGAACTTAGGATGAGGTAAAGAGAGGTGATACACTGACTCCTGTCAAGCTTTCTTTAATCGTCTGGAGGCAGATTTAAGAGGGATGAGAGACCAGAAAGGGGATGCTCAGACTGGCCCTCGCTGGGAGGCAGCTGCAGAGAACGGAGGCAGAGCAGGCAGGACATACTAGACTCACCCCTCAAACACTGGTCCTCCAGCTTTCTACAGTTCATCTGGCTTATTCTCGGTCTTTCCCCAGCACCTCCCTCTCCCCATGCCTTTTCTCAATCTCTGCCCTGTTTTTCTCTGTTTCTCTATTAATCTTAAAATGCAACTATTATGTGCTTATTTCTCTCCTTCTCAAAAAAACTCTGTAGATGAAACAGGCTGAAGGCACTGTTTATATCTGCAAGCAGCCTTCAATAATGTAATGTTCCTTGTGCCTACTGCTAACAAATACATTTGCCAATATGCTAACAAATCACATGGCTATTTAGGTATTTGTTCAGACGTGAATGGTATCAATGAAACCAGCACAGAACAAAGATCATCTTTGTTTACATGAAATCATCTCTATCTCCTCTTTGGAAAGGTTTAAGAAAAAGTCACAAATAACTGAGTAGTGTTTACCTTTTCCCAGCAAGAGACTTAAACTCTTGCTTTACAAACTCCCATGAGCCAGGATAACACTAAAGTGATACAATGCCACTGGCTGGGACAGGTATCAATGTCAAGAAAAAGTCTCATCTTTTTCCAAGAATATATTTTATCTTTTTTAGTGAATCTGAAAAAAAACCCTATAAGCCTTAATATACTCTTGGTCCTACTTACTGGCTCTGTACAAGACCCTACATTTCCCAATAGAACACTAACAAATGGCAGTTACACCTTCTAAAGCAAACAGAATTCTTTGCGGAACTGACAGCTCTGGTCATTTCAAACTACCTAACTGAAAGGATTGACAGAAATGTCAAGACAGGTTGAGATTTTTTTCACTCACATTACAATTTCTACAGGTTGATGGAGTAGCCACCTACCACAGCTCTTTACATGACCTTACTGTGCCGCATTCAAGCTTCCAGAAGAGCCAACTCTCAAGCTTTAGGAACAAAATGAAAAATCTTGCCTTTTGTGTGAGCCTTCCTCTACCTGCGTTATAGTTCAAATACAGCTTACCTGCACTGCCACATTCTGCTTTCCTGTTTCCTGTAACTTTTCTAAGGTGCATTTCTTGGTTTCTGTTTTCCTCTTGTTGTTGTCCTTCTTTCCATCATTCTTAGTTACAGTTATTCCTTTGCTATAGTCCCTTCTCACCTCTTTGGGAGGAAAACTTCTTCCTTGGTCTCTGTTCACTTCGCGCGGCTTAATGTTCTCTTTGAAGGTGACCATTGGTTTCTCTCCTGTGTCACAGTTGTTGCTTAGATTACGGCCCGTGGACAGCACTGATTTCAGTCCTGGGTTCCCGTCCGCAGCCAGTGACTCTATCATGGATGTTTCTTGCAGAATGAGGTTCTCTTTGGCTTCACTGGGGTCTTCCAGTATTAACTCAGGAATTTCTGTGATAAACAACAATTTCCCTACCTCATTTTCACACTGAATCAGCCTAAAAAAGTAAAAATAAATCCACATATGAAAACCATAAACCTAAAAAACAATAACAATGGGACTGTGCATGGACCCAACAGTCAAGTAAGTACATTCCCAGCCCTAAAGACTTAGAGACAGCAAGATATTACAGTGTAATATTTTTATATAGCATAACAAGCAGTTACAGAAAAACTCAAATCCTCATTATCCCTTAGCATCACCACACATTCCCATGCCCCTTTAATGCTTTCTAGTAATGACAGCTATATTTACTGAGCATGTCTTAAGTACAAGGCCCTAGACCAGACCCTTGAAGTAGTGATCTGTAATTCCTGTTTTATAGGTGTGAAAACTAGAGCTCAGAGGGATTAAACTCATTCAAGCATGCAACCAGTTAAGTGCTTACAGTAGTAGGACAGGAGCCTGCATATAAAAATTAATCTGAAATAGTTACTGACTTTGGAAAGGTTAGAATCACCTGGGGAGATCCTAAAGACACACACCTCGGGGAGTGGCAGAACTAGAAACCTATCTGACTCTAGTCTATCCTGACTGAAATGGACCGCCACGACCCTGTCAACACAAATCACCATCCCTGTGAACATACAATTTTGTTAGATTTACACAGATATTTACAAATGAGAGCAGAAGTTCATGATTAACAAGGGAGACAATGCTTATTTCTCTACACTAGGCAGTGTAATGGGGAGCACAGAGATTAAATAGAGTATACTTATGATCACCAGGGTCATAATTTGATGATGTGTTACCAGCATCCTGGCTTACGAGTTTATAATCAAGAGCATCGTACCAGAGCCTAAAACACATGTGGGGTGTGTAAGTGTATCTGATAAGAAATACCTTGGCTGATTATCAGCAATCCATTTGCCTATAGAGATCAAGCGCTGCTGTCGTATTTGTCGTTGCTGACCTTCTTTGTCTCCTGTAATACCCTGGTGGCCTTTGGAGAAATCCAAGTTCCTAAAATCGAGATAAGCACAAATTACACAAAATTAAACTTCTAAAGGTATTTCCCAGGCAACCACGTTTACCTAATTTAAATGCAATGGTTTCAGATTTTTCCACACAGGCTAGCTACTAAATTCAATCGACTGCATTTTGAATGTATGTTGCCGAAGATTTTAAATACAGTGAAGCAAAACAAAAAAGACAATATGCATTTGCATATTTTTACTCAGATTTTACTTTCTAATTGAGCTAAAATAAGTCACAACTTTTATTTAAAAAGATACTTTTACTGTAAGAACGAAAGTTTTCATCAACACTTACCTTGCATTCTATATAATTTGCTTGAAATGACCACTGTAATGCTAAAGGTCTCCGAGTATGCCTATTCTAATAAACAGTATTAATCTATCTACTTTAGGTGGCCCTAAATCAGAAAAATGTATTTATATCAAAAAATATATACAGCAAAAAGCTCATTGACATTAGAAAGGTAAATCAACCTGAAAAAAATAAGGATTTTCAGATTTTTCCTCATTAAACTCAGTATTATTTTTAAGTATCTAAGAATTGCCAGGCTGCAGGATAGATGCTGAAGACACAAAGATTGATTATAAATCAATCTGATAAGTACTGTAAGAAAAACTACGCAAATAAGCATAGTTAACAGGAAGGCTAGTTCCTTCTGCTAAGCTCTGAAAAGACTTCACAGATTAAGTTATTACCTGAGCTGGACCTTGGCAGGTGTGTTAAGTGTTTACAGGCTAGTAAGGGAAGGGCAGAAGAGGAAATGGGGCTGCTCTAGGCATGGCATGAACAATGTGTCAGAGGAATAAAAACAAAGTTACTCAAGAAAAGGACCTAGCCAACGTATACTACGTTAAGGATTAGGGGGCAGGTGGCAGAAAATACCACTGAGAAACTAAGCACTTGGACATGAAGCTAAAAAAGATATTGGAACAATTGGGGATGAGCGAACTGAAGTCTTTGCGTTATTAATGGGACTTCAACAGGTCTGTATTTTTAAAAATATAATCGTGAAAGCAGGGCAGAAATGAGCTACAGGAGAGGGAATCTAAGTAGGGAGGTTGATTAGGAAGCTTTTTATACTGCAGGTTAATGGTGATAAAAGCCTGAACTATATAGGGAAATAAATGGGAGGAGGTGGGTCTAAAAGGCATTTTAGACACAGAATTACAAAGACTTGGTGAGAAAGATTAATGGAAATAAGGATATTTTTTTAGAGTTCATGTAGGTGGATAATGGCACACAGATAAATATAGAAGGATTATTTTTTTGCTGACCTAACAGGAAAATACAAGCTCATTTTGGGTCATGTTAAAGTTTGAAATGCACAGGGAGATCAGATTGTTAAACTATGAGTCAGAAAAAAAGTCAGACACTGAAACTTTTGGGCTTAGTTACTATCCAAGAGATGAATGCTTCAGACAAAAGGATGGATTTGATCACCAGGGAGAATATAGAAAATGGGAAGGAAAGGGCAGGGAAGAACCCTGGAGGATAATATTCTGAGTGATGTGGTACAAGGGACTGAACTAAGAAAAACAGCTAAGAAAAAAGGAGGCTTCATATAGGAGTGGGATTAATAAACTCAATGCTAGAGAAAATTACACAGGATGAAAATTATAAAGAAGTCAATGGAGTTTGGTAACCAGAAACACACTGACAGTTTAAGTTGAATGAGGCTGAGAAATGACTGGGAGTGAGGTGGGGTCAGTAAAGTTCTCACACACTATGCTTTTAAGAAGTTTGATGATGGGGGTGCCTGAGTGGCTCAGGTGGTTAAGTGACCGAGTCTTGATTTCGGCTCAGGTCATGATCTCATGGTTTGTGGGTTTGAGCCCTGTGTTGGACTGTGCACTGACAGTGCAGGGCCTACTTGGAATTCTCCCTCTCTCCTTATCTTTCTGTCTTGCCCAGGCTTGTGCTCTCTCTCAAGAATAAAAAAATAAACATTAAAAAAAAAAAGTTTGATGACGAAGAGAAAGATAGAGCAACATCAGAGGAAGAAAGGGTTGTCAATTTTACTTTTTAAAAAGAACAGGGTACACCTCAATGTTAGCAGGCCAAAAGGAAGTAACCAGCTGTTAAATAAATAAAAAGATACTGAACTACAATGCAGAGAGAGGGTAACAGGTGGGGAGGCAGGAAGAGATAGGATCAAGGACACAGACCAAAGAGTTCAACCTGAAAAGGAGTAAGAAGTTCTTCCTCTAAGAAGAGACAAAAATGACTAGAAAAACAAATTGCTTTGTCATTATTAATGATATGAAAAATGTCAAGCAATATCCTCTGGTTTGCATTTGGTTCCCATTTTTGAGATTTCCCCTCTAATTTCAACAAAGTATAAAAAAATCCAGTGAATAAATACCACTTGGGAGAAGCAATTTTCTTCTTTTCCTTTCCTTCCCCCAAGTCTGTAAAGGCACTCAGTATTGGCATTACAGAGCAATTAAAGGCATGACATACACAAATCTACTTCATATTAAAAACGCTTTCGCTTTTACTTGTTAAGAAAATAAGACAAAGCTGGGATAGATCAAAGGTTCTTCTACACCCAAGCCTGATTCCTAATTTTAATACTATAACCACTGATAATAAAATAAAGCTCCTTCAGCTGCCACCCACCTGAAAGAAGGTCTCAAAGCCAAGAATCCTTGTAACTCAAACTCCTCTGGAAGTGGTGTAGCTACAGAGGGGTAGAAATCAAGATTTGTAAAACATTTTAATTTAAAAACAGGTTACCTCTGCGCACTAGACGTTGTCCCCTAATACTTATCTACTACTCAGTGCCGAGGGGGATGGATACAATGGACTATTTTTTCCCTGGCAGCCTTAAAAATTCATAGCCCCACATCGGTAATCCCACTGTTTAGATTATCTCCTTGTTACTCAAAGTATTGAAAAACAACACCGACATCATCCAGGAGCTTGCAAGAAATGCAGAATCTTAGGCATTGTCCCAAACCTACTGAATCATAACTGCATTTTAACAAGACCCCAGGTGATTCATTTGCAAATTGCTTGAGAAGCACTGATCTGATGGAAGTAAGATCATCAGAAAGGAGTTAACTACAGACTGTTCAGTGCAGAATTATTTACAATGTGGAAAATTGTACAGCAAATGGACAGTGATTAAATACATTATGGCATATCCACAGGATGGAATACTATGTGGCCAGTAAAAAAAAAAAAATCACACTTCAAATGTTTAAATGGCAAAGGGAAATGCTAACAACATAACATTAACTTTAAAAAGCAGGCACAAAGCTGTATCTGATATCAGTCATAGGCAGGTATGTATATGTACACTTAAGAAAAAGGTCCCAAGAAAATACACTATAATATGAACAATACAACGTATCTTTGTAAGAGAGAACCATGGGTGACTTATGTACTTAATGTTTGTATGTCCCAGATGTTCTATAATAAGCAGGTATTACTTTAACAGAGTAACGCTGTTCAAATTAATTCTCTTAAAAAAAAAAAAAAACAGTAAAAATGAGGAAGGAGGGAAGAAGCCGGAAAGAATTTAAAGGTATTGTACTCTCTGGACTCCTATTCAAACAGGAGCATATGCTGCTGAAAGAACTGGAAGAACATTACCTCTACTTCTATCCACTTATTCATGATAACTGCAGCATTGAAAGTCCCTTCTGAGTTACTGAACTTAAACGAAAACAAAACATGTTTTTCTCTCGCCTTCAGCCTACTATCAGTGATGGGGAACGATGTTAACAACATCAAGTTAAGTTAGCCCTTACCATTAGTACTTGAAAGATCCTCTTCATGGGGATGGAAACTATTTAGAAGAGAAATTAGCCAGGGCCAAATGCTGTAAATTAAAAAGACAATTCAGACTTTGTCTAAAATGGAGATACTAGAACACTAACAAGCCAGGACAATGTTATCTATAGGGCCTAGACTTTATGTACTTTCCCCTCTCGCTTCAGCATTTTCAATGCTGTATGATTTCCTAAAACCTATTTTCAAAGATGTCTGTCTAGGTAAAAGATACACCAGAAGGGTCATATTTGCACAATAGAGACCTACTACTGCAGGCCATTTCCCAGACTCCTAATTTAACAATTAGTGAAAATCGTTTGTCAGTTTTAAACACTGATAATTGGTACTTACTGGGAACACACTGACCAGAGAAACAACATATTATGTTTTGATAGAGCTGTCACACACATTATCAGTTGTGGAATCCACTGCTAGCTCTTAATCTGTGACGGGGTTGGGGTACACCATAGTCAAATCACATCCTTTGTTCAAAGTAATGACTACACCTTTTTCTTTATCATGTGAGAAAGTCCACACATTGTTAAAATACCAAGGTAAACTGAAAGTTTTCATTTGTTACCATAAAATCAAAATCTCCTAAGAACCATCAGAATTATTCTGAGTAGAGATTAGAGAGAAAACAGTGAGAGCCAAAATAACTCCCAATCCTCTATGCTCAAAACAAGCAAATGTAACTCAAACGCAGTGTTACTGTAAGGCAGGACCAAACAGCTTATGTATAGGAAATAATGGAAAAAGTAAAAAATCACTTCTCTTCAACTTCTAAACAGAAAATTGGAGCATACTGTAATGGGTAAGAAACAAACTGGTTTTTACTTCAATTTCATTTTGAAATGTGAAAAATGCTTTTTCCCTATGATTGCAGCCAGGAATGGGGGGGGGGGGGAACACACAGGGAGTCAGAAATCCTTAAGATTTTGCCTCACACAAGAAATTCAAACAAATAAATGAAAAACATACAAAGAGGTCTTCAGTTCAATTTCCAGAGAGTGGGTGGAAAACACAAAGTCTTCCATTGTTCAGATGTTGTGTTTTAGAGGCGGTTTCTACATATCCATGAATATCAAATAAACAAAGCACACAAACTAACATGAAATTCTAAGACACTTACTACTGTCTTTCATCTACCACTGCCTCCTGAAAGACCCTGGGTCTGAGTCTCAGCCAGTCCATGGAGACCTTGACTGCAGGAAGGGGATAGGCATTGTAGGACTCCTCCTGAGACTTGTTCTGGAGAGGACACTTGCACAGGATGCCAAGAAAAGACACTTAAAGAAAAAAAATGTATTCAGAAAACATACGATATTTGAAACAATGTACCAGTCCAAATTAAACTAGCATTATGAGACTTCTGCTGTATCCCCCTTAATGCTTGAATACTTCACAGTTGTTTTGTTTTTTTTTAACATTTATTTTTGAGAGAGAGAGAGACAGAGCAGGAGCAGGGGAGGGGCAGAGAGGGAGACACAGAATTGGAAGCAGGCTCCAGGCTCTGAGCCATGAGCACAGAGCCTGACATGGGGCTCGAACCCACAAACTGTGAGATCATGACCTGAGCTGAAGTTGGTGGTTTAACCGACTGAACCACCCAGGGGCCCCATCACAGCTTTTTACTAAAAAGGCTTTTATCCCCCATGTTAAAAACTGTTACAGGGGTGTCTGGCTGGCTCAGTCGGGGGAGTGTGCAGCTTTTGATCTCAGGGTTGTGAGTTCGAGCCCCATGTTAGGTGTAGAGATTACTTAAAAATGAAATCTTTAAAAAAATGTTACAGGTATATTTGATGAGGGGAGGGTATCAGGAGATAAAAGGACAGAACTTAGGGTTTAGGCCTATATAGGAGGCATTTTTGTTGTCACTAACACTCTGATGATGAAAATGCCTAAGATTATGCTTTCCAAAGAAGACAGCACAGAAAATTAAATGATTTGAATTAAAATTAAAAATTTAATACTCACTAAAGAGGGCCAGCAACTGTGTCCAACACAGCTGCTCATCTTGGCTATAACTATGCTGCTCTGTTTCATTGCTAAAGTCACGAAGGTGATGAAGTTGAAACAGGTTGATGACAGTGACGTGAACTAACTGCTGAGAGTTGAAAGCTTTTTGGAACAGCAGCCTCTGTAAAGTAAGACAGAAATACTGCGGATTATCGAGAATAGGAGCCACCTTCAACACAAGAACTAAACTGGCAGTCTGCATTTAGAACCAGATGGGTAACAGAGTCACAGATGAGTCAATGACTTCATTCATTCATTCATTCATTCATTCATTTAAATTCAGTTAGTTAACATACAGTGTAGTTACTGGTTTCAGGAGTAGAACCCAGTGATTGATTCATTACTTACATATAACACCCAGTGCTCATATCCCAGCAAATGCCCTCCTTAATGCCCACCACCCATTTAGCCCATCCCCCCACCCACCTCCCCTCCAGTAACCCTCAGTTTGTTCTCTGTATTTGTCTCTTATGATGTGCCTCCCTGTTTTTATCTTATTTTTCCTTCTATTCCTCTAGGTTCATCTGTTGCGTTTCTTACATTCCACATAGGAGTGAAATCATGTGATATTTGTCTTTCTTTAATTTATTTCGCCTAGCATAATATACTCTAGTTCCATCCATGTTGTTGCAAACATCAAGATTTCATTCTTTTTGATCACTAATATTCCATTGTGTGCGTGTACACACACACACACCCCACATCTTCTTTATCCATTCATCAGTCAATGGACATTTGGGTTCTTTCCATAATTTGGCTATTATTGATAACTCTGCTGTAAATACTGGGTGCATGTGCCCCTTTGAATCAGCTCTTAATTGTAGGATTTTAATCAAGTCCAATGTGGTCTGATATCTCTTAGGCTGACTCTTTGCCTTGAAAGGAATTCTTGAAAGGAATGAGCCCCAACACCACAGAGTTCTTTCAGCTGTTTTTCACGATACTTTTTTTTTTTTTCCCGAGAAACCGTGTATTTTTTAATATGATACAAAAAAAAGTTTTGGGCATCAGTCAGTAAAAGTATACGTCTTAATCCATTAGAAGTGGTTTTATATGAGATGCACATATAGTAAAATATTAAATTAGAATCAATGACTAGAAAGTAGATGTACACAGTAAAAAAGAAAAATTTCAAACCAGAAGACTAAACAATGTTTTTGAACTTTTGGTACACAAAGTATGACTTCCAAAATTTGTCATAAAATGTACTCAAAGGCTTGACGCATTTAAAGACACTTATTTATAAATGAGGTACAGAGCAACAATATTGGAACACGGGGTAAATGATATACTAAAACAATTAATAATGTGGTACAGGCCCTTCTACAAATTATAACACTGACATGTTTCCCTATTAGAAAAGTACATGTATGATCTTCATCATCAAATTCCTTTACTTTAGTAACTAGTGTTTATAGCAACCTGCTAAACCAGGTTATTACAGAATTCACTACATGCTCTCAGCCAGTGGCCTCACCCTTCTACCTTAATATCTGCAGTAATTTTAGATTACTCCCATAGAAAATATTTTTCAAACACAAGTTCCTAACAAAGCTGACAGTTACAAGTGATGATATCTTGGCTTCACCCTACACTTTAGCTACAGCCAACCTCCCTCCTTCTCACTGTCACTAGCCTTATAGTGGGAAACAGACAATCTTACTGATGATTCTACAAGCAGTGACAAGAGATCCTACCATCTCAGAAATTTAGAACTGCCTTTGTCCAGCAACTTCTGAGTTTTTTTTCTATTTACACAAAGAACCTGAAACATCCAGAGTAAGTTTTAGGATCCTATTAGCAAGATCTCTCCCATTATCACGGCAGGAAAATACCATTCAATTCCACTTCAGCTACTCTCTCAGCTTCCTTGCCACCTACAATGCCAGTATATACATGGAGAATGCTCATTCCTTTTTCAAAGGCATCAAGCATTTTTCCTTTCTTTAAAATGTCCCCAAATCCTATCTCTTCTTCTGAATTCTCCCATAAAACTTCTCCTTCAGTCTCTATATCTAACCTTTTAGATAAACTGACCATTTATATAAACATATAATATTGGCAAAAAATGAGAATATTAATTTGTATTTTTCAAAAAGCATTTTTTCTTATGAGTAAAACAGAACAACGTATCTATTAATCCACTGGCATTTTATTTTAGGCAGCAATGTCCTATAGAAGACAATCACAGCCCTTTAAAGGATTTTCTAGTGTATGCACAGAAGAATTAATGCATGTGAGTCCATCCTAAGTACTAGCAAATGAGAATGTAAAATTTCACGAAGGCACAGACTGTGTCTTGCTCTCCCCTCCACCTCTAAAAGCCTAGAGAAGTATATGGTTCACAGTAGGTACTCAGTAAGTACTTGGTGAAGGAATAATTCACATCTTTAGAAGTAAAAGTGTAATTATGTAGTTATATTTTCATAAAATTTAGATTGTATTGTAGGAAGCAGAGGGCCTCACTAGGAACAAAATCAGATTGGAACGGACACACTGTTACTCAAAGGCACCTTCAATAGCAGTTGTGGAGTTTACTGAACTCAGTACCATGAAAAAAACAGCATGTATTTAACATATATAAAAAGGCTTGCATCTCATTTCCTAAATCACAGGCCTTAAATCTTTTAATACACCTCAATTTGGTAAACATTTCTGCTTAGTAGCTAAAGATTACTAGTTAGATATGCTGAAGTTTACATGTAGATGACACTAATTATCTACATATGCTTTAGAAACACTTTTGAATATTTACTCAACTGTGCTAGAATTTCACTCCAACAATGTTCTTCTGGTATTTCAGTAATGAGTAAAGGTAAAAATAGATCTGCCTCATACTATGTTTAACTTTAGAGTGTTGGAATGATACTTCAAAGCATCTTTTAGGAATTGTCCACATAACCCCCCAAACTTTATATATGGAAAGATATATTTCAATATTAATGTTTGAACTTGAATCAAATGCAAAACTGACTAGACTCTAGACCAGAGTAACTTCCATATAGAGAGGACCTAATTAAGGTAGGTTCCCCCCAATCCCTATTTCACAGAAACAGAGCCAGGAGCAATCTCAACAGGTCATTGGATCCAATCCCCTGCTAGTTTACAGAACTGTACCTAAACCATCCAAGGAAGACGACTGTCAACCTGACTTTTAAGCTCTTCAAAGACAGAATCCTTAGCAACCCCCTATAGATATCTTTTTAGGATTAATGATTTTAGTTCTGACCTCAGAAAAGACAAAGAGAAGTTATTTTAAAATAATCCTTCATATATCTGACCACTTATAATGAAACTATTCAGACTTATTTGTTCTCTACAGGCAGAATAGCTTAGGGCATAAAAATTAGTTGTTCCTTGCTTGTACTTGATTCTGTAAATCATGGGCTAAAAGTTGAAATAGGCCCCTAAAAGAAGCAGAAAGCAGCAGGAGACTCTAAAAGATTATTCAAAAACAAACTATTTCTATTATAGTTATTTAGTACAATCTCTTGTACATAAAAAGTGTTAACTGCAAAATGATTATCTGTAAAACTACTTCACATTGACTATACTTGGCTAATTTATGTCTCTTAACTAAGTTTTACAATCTCTGGAACATGTTACTTTTATACTACTTATAAAACTGTAAGGCAGTTATAGACAACATCCCAAGTGCTTAGATACCCAGAAGCAACCAAGAAATATAAAATGTTCTTTAAGACTGTCTTGTTCACTGTTGATCCCAGTGACTAAAACAGTGACTGACATTAACAGGCAGTCAAATATTTGTTGAATACATGAATTAAAGACAGAATTAATACTGCTAATTCAATATTCTAATAAAAGATCATTTTCATATTTATAAATATAACAAAGGTTAATTTATTTCCTTACACAAATTAATAAAAGAATGAAATTCTCATTCCTTTCCTTCAAACTACCACAAATCCTGATGGATCAAAGCACAATGAGAATAATGAGCCCGGGTTGCAAAATGGAAATATTATAAAGTAGGTACCAGAATTATATCTAAGAATATAAAAACCATCAAAAGTAGTACTTTCAAAACTGAGAGAGAAAGGTGCTTGATCTGAGAAGAAGGAGGAGTTGGTTTTTTCTCCCCACTTTGGTAACTTTCTGCCAAACAGCAGCTATTTAGTGAAAACACCACTGCTATATTTCTTTATAGATGGTATCTCTGTTTAAATTGAGGGGATGCTGTATGCAAAAACTCCATATGCTTCAAATTTACATTTAACCAAGAGTTCACAGCTAAGTAATGACATAAAAACTAGGAGTCAACTTCATCAATATCTTATGCTTCCTGATTTATTTATTTATTTTTTTTTTTTTTAATTTATTTTTGGGACAGAGAGAGACAGAGCATGAACGGGGGAGGGGCAGAGACAGAGGGAGACACAGAATCGGAAACAGGCTCCAGGCTCTGAGCCATCAGCCCAGAGCCCGACGTGGGGCTCGAACTCACGGACCGCGAGATCGTGACCTGGCTGAAGTCGGACGCTTAACGGACTGCGCCACCCAGGCGCCCCTATGCTTCCTGATTTAGACAAGACAAAAAAATTCTCTATTTTTGAAATCTAACCTTAAACTGTTCTTCCAATTTCTCTCGAAGTGGGCTCAACTTTTCCAAGCTCTTACTCAGGTACACATGACCGTGGAATTTAATAAAGGCCTTGATGAAGTCAGAAACACTCCATTTGGTTTTCACCTCATCCCGGCTGAAATGGAAGAAAAATTTCCATGAATCTTAAGCAGCGAAATGGCTAACACCTCTTAAAAGAGGTTTCAGTCTGCAAAAACACATTATTTGAGCACCTGATACACAAGGAGAAGATTCTGCATGAAACTTTTTATCTGCAACACACTCAGAGGAGTTGTGAGAATTCAGCAGCCTGTACTCCTCTACTAGGAACAAATCAGAGGCTGACTGCTTGAAATTCAGCAATGACTACATGCAAAACTATTAAAACATATCTACATGTTGAGAAATTAGGCAAATGGAAGAGAAGCACAGGTAACTATCAGTTCTTGTACGCTATCAGGTTGACAGGTGAAGACTACCAGGTTACACAAAGTCCTCTTGGAAAAGTCAGCCCTACCTTTCCAGTGCTTTAGAAAGTGCTTTTTGTAGATTAGTGGAGGCAGCTGGGAACGGGAACTTCACAGCGATGCTTCTGCAGTAGTAGAAAATTGTGGTCAGATGGTCTCCTTTGGAAGAAGCTAAGATAGCCAACTGATTGTAAGGCTGACCTAGAGGAGAAAGTTAAGATGCTAAAGTAACCCAAGATGCACAGTCTTGCTATCAGAATACAGGTGATCAGTTTTCAAACCTTTAAATTAATAATGGGGAGTATTTTATACAGTAAATCTCATGAGTAACTCATTACAAATGGGCATAATTCAAAACAGCACACTCCCACAACAGAACATAGCATGTACAGGTTAAAAAGCACATCATCAGGGTAGAGAGCACTAGAAGCATAGGTAAGACTTCACGTGGGCCTAGGAGACTCCATCACAACTACCACGTCTGCCACCGCTGTGGGAAAGCAGCCAGAGACAAAATGAAACGAACAGTGTGCCCAACTGCCACCCCTGCTCGAAAGGAGCTCCTTTCAGAATCTAAAAGAATTTCAATTTGGCTTAACAAGAATGATGTATTTCACCAAACAAGAATCACTGCTAATGTCGCTTTTGAGGCCATCAAAAGACATAAGCACTATCTCTTAGATAAATAAAAATTTTTCTAGTAAGGAAATGGTGGTATTAAGAGATAATTAAGGAAGCCAGAGTTATTGAAACAATTTTAGATCACATTAGGGGATATTCTTTTTATACTGGTTTACTGACAACAACAACAGTTTTATTTTAAAAAATCCACTTCTGCTTATATAGAATATACAATGAAAAGAAAAAATATGACCAAAACTCCAAGTCAATCAATACCAAATCTCCAAAACTTAATACCAAAACTCCAAAATCTTTTGCTTTCAAAAACCTGAAGATGAGCCTTATTTTCCATACTGCTATAGAGAATCAAGTATCCTAGTCAACCACGACTTGCTGTGAGAGGCCCACTCACCATTAGAGGGGACAAGCTGAGCTGCATGCCTATAGTAGGACTCTGCCTGGCTGGTCTGGTTTCTGTATCGAGCTGAGAAGAGGAAAAAGAAACTTTAGTTTAAAAACAAACAATGAATAAAAAAACTAGTAGGGTACTATTTTCAAAACAACTACAGATTTCAATTCTAAAGATAATAAACACATTAAAATTAATTTAAGATAATTAAAGACAGAAAATACTTTAAAACAAATTAACTATAGGATTATGTGTGAAGTGTCCATCTGGCCTTCCCTATTTGGGACATTCAGCATGGAACCAATTGTAAAGCTTACCTAGCCCCCATTTTCAGGTCCTCCAGTGTCATGCATCACCAGCTCCCCCTATGGACTATGCTGGTGACCTGGAGCCGGCCCACCAAGAAGGGGTGAGTTATATGGCACTTAAAAACAAAACAAAACAAAAAACACTATACAATATGATCTGAAAAGTATGTATTTCTTCAATATCTTATAAAGTGACTTTGAAAAATGTCTCATACCTACTGCGATATTAAGTATGTGTGTGCACAGGATACACTAAAAGCAAAAACAACCTAAATGCACTATTCACTGAGTCTCCATGCAGAACTTGGTGCTTACTTTGACATGACCCCAAATGGAGTCAATGATTTATATGACATCTAGATATCTAAAATCTTCGAACTCAAAGGAATGTTCTCCATTCCTTGTTATTTGAGGACAGTTGAAACATAATCCTATAGTTAATTTATTTTACAACCCTTTTAGGTCACCTTAAAGGGACGAACAAGAATAAGTTACATAACACTCTCAGACAAACTACATTAAATAGAAAAACAAATTTAACTGCAAAAAGGAAACAATTAAAAATGAGGTTTTAATATAGTGACGATAGGAAGAAAAGAAGACAATCTAGCTTCAGAAGGAGTAACTTATAAACCCTGCAATTCCAAGAGTACAGACTTTTAATTTAAAAGACATTACGGCACCACTTTGAAAACTTTAGCTTTGATTACATTTTTGCTATTCATTTGCCTACATCTGCATGAAGTCCGAATAAAATTTACATCTTCATATGAAAGTTACTACCTTCAAAATCCTTTGCCAATCCCAAAATACTGAGACAATGTAAATTCTTTAATATACAATTTATAATTTCCTCTTATGGCAAACGAAATTGTGTGTACATACTCAGTTTGAGGGAAAAGAGCTTCTTTCTATGACTACTCCAAAGAAAAGGATGAATATATTAGCAATTCCTTCACACCAAAGGCTCACCAATGTCTCCAAGGTGGACGAGGCAGTGCTGGCAGATATAGGAACAGGAGCTAGACTGTGGCTTCACTATGGCGCTGGTATGCGTCTGTTTATTGCTGATAATTCCCAATTGGGAAGACTTCACACGGCATGGTAAATCTACATTAAACACCGTACACAGTTCTTGTAATAACTAAAAGGAAAACATGAGCAAGATTTAGTGGTAAGTCAGAACTGGTAAGTCAGCAGTGCTCTAACAGTAAAGTTTGTATACTTTAACATGTATACCTAATATCATATACTACTGAGACCGGAGCAAAGACTCTAAGAAAACAGGATAGATAACTAGTAACATTTATTATAAATCATATCTTTTAAATTCTTAAGTATTAGAGCAATCTAAGATGTGCATCTAAAAGGAACAGAAACATTATTTAAAAAGACTTTTTTACCTGAATAGGGTATTCAGTCCCATTCAGCAAGCAACTCCAAGAAATTATCTATCTACTATTTCTCTTAGAAAGACACAAAAACCATTAAAGACTGAGTGGTTACAAATAGGACTTAAATGCAAGCCAACATATTTGTTCGATTTTAGGAGTTCCCTGAGATTTATTTTAAGTCCTATGTCAGTTCTTATCTTTGCATACACAATGGATCTGATACAGACCTGCAAGGGACTTTTGACATTTATGGAGACTACCCACTTCTTCCTCCTTTATCTCCTCTAGTCTTACTATTAGAGGTACCTACCTCCTCCTCGTTAGAACTAACTCCTCTGTCTGAGCATGCTTATTTCATTCTTGTCTGCCTCCTGCCTACCATCCCCTCACTCTTATATCTACTGTCAACTTCTCATGCTTCTTTGCTATGGCCTGCAAATATCAAGTGTCACCCACAGAAAATATAATAATCCAAAACCAGAACACTCCCCTCCTTGATCCTAGATTCCTCCTCCAGTAACCTTTTAATGTCTCTTCCTCTTCTTAACCAAACTGCTTCAAAGGAATCCACATGTGTCCTATTTGCTTTCTCAATTCCTATTCACTTCTTAATCCATTATGATCTGCCTTCCACACAAACCCCTCTTCCCATCCTACCATCCACCACCACTCTACTGAAACTGTTGTCCATATGAGACCCAGTTATCTAATAAGCAAATACAATGGACACTTTTCAGTCATTATCCTATTGGACCTCTTTGCTGCATTTAAAACAGCTAACCTTGGGGCGCCTGGGTGGCGCAGTCGGTTAAGCGTCCGACTTCAGCCAGGTCACGATCTCGCGGTCCGTGAGTTCGAGCCCCGCGTCAGGCTCTGGGCTGATGGCTCAGAGCCTGGAGCCTGTTTCCGATTCTGTGTCTCCCTCTCTCTGCCCCTCCCCCGTTCATGCTCTGTCTCTCTCTGTCCCAAAAATAAATAAACGTTGAAAAAAAAAAATTTAAAAAAAAAAAAAATAAAATAGCTAACCTTAAGGCTGATCACTGAGCTTTGCTTTTTTGTTGCTGTTGTCTTACCAATCATTCCTTTTCAGCCTCCTTTATTCAAAAGCATTTCTCCCCCGACCTTGTTCCCCAAGGGTTTCATTATTGGCCCCACACAGTTCTTTCCGTTCTATTCCATCCATTCAAATATTTACTTAAATATATTCATTCAAATATTTGGTTACTATATCAGACACCATGGTAAGCAACAGGGATAACAGAGATGAATAAGAAAATCTACGTTCTTAAAGAGCTCACAGTCAAATGAGCAAGATAGATAAATAACATGAGGGTGGGGAGGGGAAGGGGAAGGGAGCAAGGAAAACATGATAGCTAGCATAAATAAGCCAAGAGAATAATCTCTATCTGTAGCAAACTGAATTCCCTAGCTTACTTGATACATTTGTCTCACTTATCCTGGAGATAACCTAGCAGCAATATAGTATATATAGTGATGAAGCTCTATTTTTTCAGATGAGGATATGAAAGCAACAGAAATATCAAGTGATTTGACTAACGTCACAAAATTAGAAATACATTGATTCTATCACCACACTTTTTAATGTGCAGAATTCACAATATAAAATAAGACACCCTGAGGACCCAACTCATGATTTAAAATGTCCTACTTTTTTCTAAGATAAAAACCACTTCCATAACTGAATACAAATTCTGTGTACCCTTGTGTACCCTTTACTACTAAGCACAGGAATTATCTATTTCAGCTTTACTTATACCTGTACATTTGTAATGGGCAAGAATTTGCTGAGATAAAATTAGGTAAACAAGTAAATGCTCAGAATGGCTAGAGTCAGCAAACAGAAAAGGCAAGAAATACAGGAAAGGAACGAAAAATGGAGGGAGAGGGAGACACCAAAAACAGACGAATGTAGAAGATAGGAAGAAGAAACGTGGTGGATGGTAGAGAACGGAGTTTGGTAGGTACTGAAAGAACAGACTGGAACACAAGGCAAGGCTAAACATCTATCAAGAAGAAAAAAGAATGTTCACACAAAAAAGTAAATCAAACGTGGCTGGAGTATCATATAGAATGTCTTGTAATAAAATTTTGCCTGAACCCAGGAGTTGTAGGTGAAGATATCAGAAAAGTTCCTGCTGATTCAAAGATTCTGGGTAAGAGAGCTCTGGTTGATTTAGATGCAGAAACAAGGTGGCACTAAAGAAGAAAAACAGATGTTTCATAAGTTGAACAAAACTATATTTGGCAATTATTCTGTGAAAACTCAGTATTATGTTATTCCACTGCTCCTTGGCTCTTCTATGCTAAAAATGGAGAACTAACTATGAAGGTATAGAACACCACCCCTCAAAAAAACTACAGAAAATAATACTTTTTTTTGGCTCCCAGTTTCTTAGAGTAACAACTACTTGTTCAGTTCTTTGATGTTTTAAAAAAACCTACAGTAGAATGTTGTTACATCTTTACTTTGGGAATTCGGTTCTGGCTTGAATTTGGTACCATGCTTTAAATGGCTCACAAAATGACAGCTAAGAAGTAAAAACATCTTCACAGAAATATAAATGAGGATAATCATGTATTAATCTCTTCTCAATCCACTCCAATCAGATTTCTATTCCCATTTTACCAAAGTCACATTTCATTAAATCCAAGATACCATAAATTGTATGGTGAACTATTATTTATTGTAACATTGAGAGAAAAAAATACTGCCAATTAAATAGTGCCTTATCATCTCTTGTGAACTTCTAATCAAGAGACGTTAAAATATGAAAAACATTTTTAAATTATTTTTTAAAGTTTATTTATTTATTTTGAGACAGAGCACGCACATGCACAGGAGGGGCAGACAGAGAAAAAAAAAATCCCAAGCTGACAGCACAGAGACATGGGGCTTGATTTCATGAATGGTGAGATCATGACCTGAGCTGAAATCAAGAGTTGGAAGACTGACTAACTGAGCCACCCCAGGGGCCCCCAAAATATTTTAGAAATGAAGAAATACAGTATTTGTCAATGTCACCAGTGACTTCTATGCTGTCAAATCTAATTGGTCACTTTTTAATCATCTTATTTGACTTCTTAGCACCACTCAACAGGGATGACCACTCCTTCTTCTTACTGAAATGTTTTCTCTTGGCTTCCAAGTCACCGCTCTGATTTTCTACTACTGCAATGGTGGCTCCTCTTGTGCTGACCTGTTCTCACCTAGCTCTATGGTTTTAAATACCAAACACTAATGTCTGACTAAGGCAGGGTTCTTCATTGTAATCATAAAATTTACTCTGGCCCTGACCTTTTTACTGGGCTCCAAGCTTATTTATCCAATTACCTATATGACATTTGCACTCAGATGTCAAATAGGCTATCTAATTTAACACGGACAGAGATGTTTTCTCTTCAGTATTCTCCATCTCGGTAAATGGTACAACTAGTCAACTAGCTGCTCAATCTGATAACTGAAGTCATCTTTGACTCCTCCCCTATCTTGATTCCACATATCCAGTCCAATCCATGATCAAGTCTATTGGTTAATCTTCAAAAATCCATCACTTTTTTTCTATTACCACAGTAGCATCCTAATTAGCTTCCATTCCTAACCCCCATACAACATTCTCCATACAACAGCCAGGATAATCTTTTTTTTTTATTACTTTTAATGTTTATTTATTTTTGACAGAAAGAGAGAGAGCAAGAGCGAGAGAGAGAGAGAGAGCGAGCCTGAGTGGGGAAGGGGTAGACAGAGAGGGAGACACAGAATCCGAAGCAGGCTCCAGGCTCTGAGCTGTCAGCACAGAGCCCGACACAGGGCTTGAACTCACTAGATGCAAGATCACGACCTAAGCTAGACTCAGACACTCAACCAACTGAGTCACCCAGGAGCCCCCTGCTAGGATAATCTTTTAAAAATGCGAACTTTATCATGTTACGTCCCTGCCTCCTCTCCAACGGCTCGCAACTACACTTAAAGATTAAAATTCAAAACTCATCGTGGCCTAGAAGATTGTATGATGATGTGGATTTGGTCTACACCCTCAGTCTCATAGCTTAATCTGTACTATGTGTAATCAAGAAAGATGTATAAAACATTATTGTTAGCAACACCATTAACTGTTTCAATTATCAAACGAAGACAACATAAAAATGCAAGTAAAATATCCTATTAATGTTAATATATGAAAAAGTTTATTAATGCTCATTCTACAATTGTTTTAATTGTTCAACCACTGCCTAAGGAATGCTGGTGGAGAAAATCAATGCTTATTATAAAAATCGAAAAAATGTTTTTCAAAATTAGATTAGCCATATCTTTTTCATTATAAAATAATTTGAATGATTTTATTTACCTGCCTATAAAATTTTGTTTACAATTACCATACTCCCTCAATAAAAATGATTCTTGTTTTCCTTCCTTGCAGATTTATCAAGGTGCAATTAAAACTTTGGAAATGTGTTACATTCCATCATAAAAAAGGTTAAAAATCATGTTTCTAGGTGATTAACCAATCTGTATAATAACTATAATAAAAATGTATTGTAGCATATGGACTCCTTCCCTCTCTTCCACCATGCCCAGCTGCTCGGGGTCCCTACTGCTCCCCCTACTTCAGCTGTGTTCATTCAAAATTCCACTTTCTACTACATAGGGAGAGGAAGGAATACAGATTTGAATCGGACTAGAGTTTTAAAACTAGACTATATTTCAAAAATCTAAAAGCAACCAGAATGTTATGAAATCTTTCTAAGAAGTTATGGTAGAAATCTGGAATTCAACAAAGCATAGATGAAAGTAGTGATGGCGGGGTAGGGGATAACACTTTTGTTAATACTCTGAGCTGAGATTCCTCGATTAACATATCCAGTCAAACTGTAATTCAATAACACGATCTTTTCATCATCTTAAAAGATCTTCATAAACATCAACTTATAATAGTTTCATAAATTTGCATTTTACAGATGTCATAATTTAATCATTATTATAAGATATTGGTGCTAATTTTCAAATATTGAGATTTGAATTATAATATCTATTTGTTCCTTTAAATATAAATATTATTGTCCTTACTAAATATCCACTGATCTGGGTGGCTTAGATGGTTGTGTCTGACTCTTGATTTTGGCCGAGGTCATGATCTCACAATTTTGAGTTCAAGCCCTGCGTTGAGCCTGCCTGGGATTTTCTCTCCCCCACCCTCTCAGCCCCTCCCCTGCTCACACTCCCTCCACTGACCTATGGACAAAAACAAAACAAAACAAAACAAAACAAAACAAAACAAA